CCCCTCCCCCCAACTGCACCCTAAAAGGGGGCCACGGAGCAAGGGTGTGGTCCCGAGGGCCGGCCGAGCCGGACCAGACCAGGGCGTGGCGGCGAGCAGCGTGGCGCTTTGCGGCGTGAGGGGTTCCCGCGACGCCAGCCCGGCCCGGCCCAGCCCGCCCTACTCGGGCACGGCACGCGAACATCGACCAACGAACCGACAGCAGGCGTGGCACGCCAGGGCAGGCCAGGGCAGGCCAGGGCGGGGCAGGGCGGACGTAGGGGTGCCTGTCCCGTCCCGCCAAAGGCCAACCCAAGAGGGTGAGGGGCTGCGAGGTGAGTTCGCCCAGAGATAACAAGGTGCGGGGGACGACCGGACCAGCTTCCTTCTCTCTCTCCCTCCTGCAGGCGCCCCGTCCCGGCGCCTGCAAGTGTAGCTGAAGTGCCGCCCGCGCCGGGCACATCTGCGCGCAGCTGATAAGGTGCAAAGTGGGGCGCAGATGGTGCGGGGAGGCCTCACCTTGGGCCCCCCGAGAGGATTTGGACCCACCGGGAGAGAGGGGGGTGGACGCCAGAGGACACGAGCTCCGGCTCGCGCCCGCGGCCAGGTCAGGTCCCCAGAGGCGGCAGGTACGCGGCGAACAAGAGCCAAGGGCGCGCGCGGATATTGTCCGGCAGACACGTCGTGGAGTGTGCGTATGTCGCGTTGTTATTAGGTCCAAGGCCACGGCGTGCATGAGGTGGGCCGGGCCGACCACAAACACCCCGCCAAAGTGGGTCGGGCGGGCGGAGCGGCGAGCGGCGAGCAGCGCGCACCCCAGCGGGCCGCGCACACGCACACACCACACACACGCGCGCGCGCCCCGCTCGGGGGTAGCTCAGGGCCGCCCAGCTCGTGGTGGTAGGTGGAGGAGGTGGTGGTGGTGGTGGTCGAGGAGTAGGTGGAAGTGGCGGAGTAGGTGGAGGTGGCGGAATAGGTGGAGGTGGTGGTGGAGGAGGAAGAGGAGGTGGACGCCCGCCCCGGGGGGCCCCGGGGCTCAGCAAAGGCCATAAAGATAACATTGAGTGAGCGCTATACGCCGTCACGACGAACCGGGTACGGCGGCGCCCATGGTGGATCTAATAACTCTGGGGAAGGTCTCGGACCGCGCGTCGACGGGGTCCCCGCATGCGCGACCACGACCACGCACTCGGCATCATCATCATCCTCTGCCCGTTCCCGGGACGTCACACGGGGGCTGCGGGGGGAGCCGAGAGGCGGGCCGCGCTGCCGAGGCGCACCGCAGACGGTCTTTGGGCATGCGCCGCGCGCAACCACCACGCGCCGCCAACGACAAACTGCATCGGCACAAACGGCAACCCACAACGGCGGCCGCTAAAAATATACAAACAGCGTGCGGCGCAGCATACCGCATGAGCTCCGAGCGAGCACCTTATCAGCGATCCCCTTCCTGATTACCACCACCACCACCTGCACTGCACATAGCGCGGACTGTACGCGGGCCGGGCCGGGCGGGGGACCCCCGACCCAGGATGTGTTGTACGCGCTCACGCAACTCAAAGAGCGCCACCATCGTCTATATACGTTCCAGCGGCGCGACGGGCGGCGTGAGGCGCCGTGACCCCCCCCCCCCCCCTCTCTCTCTCCGCATGGCGCCGCGACGGGGGAGGGTCGAGGGGGACAGGAGGGGAACAGGGGGGAGGGAGAGGGGGGGAGCGTATCGATCACAACCACAACTACGCCCATTCAGAGGCACCCGCGCGCGCGCGCGCGCGAGGAAAAAGGGAGTCGCCGGCTCGGCCACTTTTCAACCCCCCGAAAATGGAAGAGTTTGGCGAGGACAATAAATGCAAAACGGGCGGGCGCAGCAAAGAGGCCAATCAGGCAAAGAAGGAGCGGCAGGCCGACAGCCAAGCCTGCACCGGCCGGGCCGCCGCATAAGGGATCACCCAGAAAGTGTGTCCGCCATTCTCGGTCGTTGCGAAACTGCAAAGCTCTCATATAGCGCCTGGTGGGTAGGCAACATCGTGCCTGCGGTGCAAGCGTGTACTGCGGGGCGGCCTACCCCGAGTCTCGCAGGCGCTGAGCTCCCGTAATTTGCAGAACGAATAAATCTCGAGAGAAGGAAACGGGCGTACTTTTTTGGACGATTGCCAAGTTTCAATGAGCGACACGACACGTCTCTAAAATAAAGGGTGGCGATCACTGAACCGCACTCAATCTACGTCTCCGATCAGTCTGAATCAGTTCCAAACCCAGTCAAGCCCACAATCGCGAATAACGTACTCACTTCATAAAATATCCATGTGCTAAATACAGTCTGGAAGGCGTTGTAGCCGATGAGGATGTTGCGGAGGTTGAACGGCTTCCTGTTCTCCATGACGCGAGGGCCCCACACCTTGGCCAGGTAGGCGTACGTCATGCAGATGGCGATGGTCGGCAGCGGCGACGACATCATGGGCCATTGGTTGACCCGGGGATCTAGAGGGGCAGACAAAACACACGTGTTGTAAGGTCGATGAAACATACATCGATACATAATCACCATACTGATGTAAGCTAATATAGTTTTACTATTTTAATCCCGCAACCCGCCCGCAACTTAGTCTTTCCTTAGGAATAACCCCTTAGGAATATTTGTGTAAAGGGTCGCAATTTTAACCACATTCCTCTGTAGTTTGAAGACCCAGATGATTGTAATTAAACAATATTTGTATATTGGATTTTTAATTTTTACAATTTCACAATAACTTAGGCCACGTTTTAGGACTACTCGGGGCATGCGGACAACATTTTCATAGTGGCCCAAACAAGAAAATTCAACAGTCCAGCTCAACGTATTGTGTAAGAGGCGGTGTAAGGTGAGGAAGAGCCCCCTGTCAACAGTGCAGTGCACCTTGTGCACCTTGCGCACCGCGGGGAGGGGCGCGGCGGGCGGTGCGGGGCTACGGAATGTTGGCTCCGGCCTTGATCTTGACCTCGACCAGCTCGCGCGGCAGCAGGGGCAGGGCCCGCCAGAGCCCGTATAATCACACACGTTACACATTACAGTCATGACAGTCTGCTGCTGGACTTGGCCCCCGCTTCTGCCTGTCCACTGCCCACCACTGTCAAAAGCAATGTCATAGCTTTCTTAGCGAACACTAAATAAAATAGAGGGGGAAAGATGGGAAGCGGGGGGTCGAGTACGACAAGAGGCAAATGTTCAAAAGTTTAGGAGATTGAGACTCAAAAGGCAGACAGCGGAACTGGTTAAGCGACGCCACAAAACACCGAGCCTGGGACACATAGAAAAGTGTAGGCGCCGGTGGCCGGCGTCCCCGCGCCGTCCGCTCCACAGTCCACAGGGCGGCTGGCTGAGTAGCCGCATCGCCGCATCGCTCAAGTCGAAAAACCGGAATCACACAGAAAAAAGACAGCTACTCGAGTCGAAGCAAAGAAGTTCAAGGTGGAGAGCGCAGGGTACTCGTGTGCCAAGTTTAATACATAATCACAGTAAAAGACTTCGAAAACAAAAATAGAATAAGGGAAGCTGTTAGCAGTTGAAACAATAAGTCGAAATGAAAAAAATTAAAACGTAGGACACGCTTGTACTGTAGTAACAATGTGGGACTGTTGAATTTTCTGAGTCCAACTGGTAAACACATTCAAGTGATAAGTGATGCATAACACGGTAAAAACGACGTCCTGGTTTTCATGACGTTTTGGAAAAACCATGACGTCTTATGGAAGAAATGCATGGGTAACGTCATGGTTTCCCAAACGTCATGAAAACCAGGACGTCGTTACCGTGCATCTATAGATGATTAAAACACGGGCAAGAATTTAACTTGCAAATGGAATCACTTTCTGCCTTCCGGTTGAATCCGTCTGACCCGTCATAAGATCCGTTGAAACGGTATCGGTGTGTAAACGAAAATTAATATGGATACCGATCTAAGATTATTCGCACTGTTGATTTCTCTTTGAATAGGAAAGTGCAAGTAGTAAGAGAGTGTCTTCAATTTGTCGAATATTTTTTTCCATGGCATCGTTTTGAGGAAGTCACACACACACAAGCAATTAATTTGGATAATCCCCAGCGAAGATAAGTAGCGCTGTGCCGCCTCTTGCTTTGCATACGTCAGTGTGGTCAGCACAGAGTGCGTGAGCAGTATCCAGTTTCTCGATGACAAAGTATAGGCAGAGCCGATACTGATTGCGCGCAGCACGAGCAAAGCCGACCGCATGTATGTTTTTGCGAGTGTTTTTTTTTTGTTTTTTTTTTTCGCATCGTTTCGCGGAGATCATACAGGCAATTAGAGTGTCGCCGGTCGTCGCCGCCGCCGCGCCGCGGGCCGGGCCGGGCCGGGTCGGGCGCGTGGCTGGTCCGTGACCTGACGGTGACTACACTCGGAAAAAAATAAAATGATACGCTTGTAGCTAAACCATTGTCTAAAGGAGGGATAGCTAAGTGATTTGGCACTTTAACTAAAATTGTATGGCTGTGTTACACACCCAAATTTTGAACTAGATAGATTTTTTTGGGGGGTGACAAAGCTAAATTAAGCTACATAGCTCAATAATTAGTCATCCCCTATTTAGCTATTGTCTAGCGATACAGCCAATCTTTATTTCCGTGTACGTGCCTGTGATGTGGAACAAGCGCATATAATACCACCAAAATGCCCCAGCTACTGCCAACATTCCCCGAATCTTAATTATGGCACGAGTGTAGTTTAGACAGGACGGCACGCTAGCGGCCTTTAACGAGCGCGCGCAGACACAATCACATTATCAAGTCATCAAGCGCCGCCGATTTCCGCTCGTCCCGAACGACCCGTCAACCACCCACCGCGAATTAGACGACAAATTGCATAATAAGACTGGAGCACTGTCAGTCGGGGATGCCGTTCCGTTCGTTATTTTCAAAGACAAGGAAACATCGTAAAAAGATGGAAAAACCGACATAAACACTACAAAAAACACTAAAACAAAAATAAAAACATCAGTAAATTTATACTTTGTGAAAGAAGACGAACGAACATCCCCTCCTGGGACGCTGGGCCTGGGCCACAAAAAAAGATAGATGGCATGGCCAGGGAGAGGCCATTCCTCACTCAAACCCTCTACGCGTTCCAATATCCGCGGTGCGGTGCGCCTGGAAGGTCTCTATCCAGGCCTGCGCCCCCCAGAAGGAGAGTCACGCCCGGCGCGCTAGCACTCGCTGCTGGAGGCGGATGAGATCGTGATCTAGTATTGGCCAAGAAAGGTGGAGAACTTGCCCACCTCCCCCTCTCCCAAAAAATAATATTTTAAAAACCAATCACGATAAATGATGATAATGATTTTCTAAATTTCACTGTTTCCCCTGGCCTTTCCTTCTTCATTAACTAGAGTTAAAAGCAAGCTGACACCTTAGTATTCAGGCTCGTTCTGGCCTTCGCGTCTCCTGCTGAATGTAGTTAGCAATTTCAGGCAAATTCCCCAAACCTTTTGGACCCGCCTTGACCCCCCTCCCTGAGTTCGCGGCTGAAGCCCGGCCGGGCGCGCCTCGGTAATGAGCGCCATTAGTCACCAACCATCACCAGACCAGGTCAGTGGGGTCCGCCCGCCACGCGCAGGCCGCCGGCCACAACAAGTAGTAGTACAGTGGCGGCCCGCCGGCGGCCCGGGGCTCACGTGTGCGGCCGGACACGATAAACGCACGTCGCGGACATTCACGCGCCCCAACAGGAGCAGGGAACCTGTTCAGAGACACGTGAGTGAGGATGTGACCAGACGCGGGGCGGCCCCCGCCGGGTCGTCGTTGTCGTTGTCGTCGTCGTGACCGCGGACCTTTCCGATAACGATCAGCACGAGAATAATAAATAAGTGCGGCGGGTCCACACGTCGTGAGGAGCAGGAGCACACGGCTGGTGGTCGGGCGCACCGCGGCGGGCGGACGCGCCAGTCGGACGCAACGAGAGAGCAGCCGGGGCTAATTGGGCCGTACTCACTCTCTCGCCTCAAAAAGGATCCACATGCCGGAACACCGCGAGCTGGCGGGGCGGGGCGGGGCGGGCGGGATAACTCGCAGCCCCACCGCTCCCCACCCCGCCCTCCATTATTCATCCCCCATTAATGAGCGATAGAGTGCCCCCTATCCCCCCCCCCATCCCATCCTCCCTCTTCCTGCATCTCGACGGTGACGTTACTGGGCGACCCCTCCACCCCCTCCTCCTCATCCACCTCGGGGACGTGCTCGACGCCCTACGACTCCCCAGAGTAGTGGCAGTGGGGACTCCAGGGGGCGGGGTAGGCCACCCGGTGCGCGCGGCCGCGTCACACGGCCTACCTACCGGGCGCTCCGACCGGCAGACGGGCCCCGGCGAGGAGCACCAGGAGGGCGGGAGGGCACTGGCCCGTCCTTCAGGTGCGCGTCGTTGAGCCGCGCGTAGCCCAGCCAGCCCCAAGACGTCCAGCGACCATCCCACCTCCCGCAAACCACCCCGCGGTAAGGTCTTACAGCTTACCCCGACGCACGTCCTTCAGGAGCGTTCTAATGAGCCGGGTGTAAGTCCGGCCCGGCGGCCACACCGCACATTCCACCTCCCGCACGTCCACCCCGACGGCGGCGGCGGCGGACGTCCTTCAGGTGCGCGTCGTCGCCGGGCCGGCCCGCGCGCGCCGGCCACCGCGGAGGCACGGTCGGTTTACATAACGCCGCCGCGCCACCATCGAGGACATCTCCTCCCGCCCACCCCGCACCGCCCCGCGCCGCCCCCCGCGCCCCTTTCTCCTGCGCACCTCTCAAACAGGCGCGCGCAGAGACATACGGACCCGACAGACAACGCAACGCCTCCCCACGCCGCCGAAACTACAAGAGGGAGAGAAAAACACTGCGGCACGAAAATAAAAACGCATAGGCGAGCGCGAAATACGCCAAAACCGCAGCGTCGGCATCACGATCCGGCCGATCGTGCTACACTAGTTTCTCTCACCGAACACCCACCGCACACATCGGGCACATCATCAGGGAAGCGAGAGCAGCTGATAAAGAAATGGTGGCGACACGGAAGCGGCACGAAGCGCGCGCGCGCGCCGGAAAGGAGGCTCGCGATGTAGTATCGGCGGGAAATTCCAAATCCACAAACACGAACGCGGAAAAAAATAAAAACAAGCTGCCCTGCCCTGCTGGTTGCGCGCTCCTGCGCTCCTGCGATTTCAATCATTTAAATGTTTCCACAGATCCGCATCGTTCAGAAGGCGCGTCAGAGAGAGGGGGGATTCCCCCGAGACCGGAGTCGGTATCACCCGGACTCACAATAATGCCCGCCTCCTTCATACATTTAAACCACACCGCGCGCGCTAACGACCGACGCGACGCGCGCGTGTCACCGAGACGCGTAAAGAATGTCTGCAAAACCGCAGGCCGGGCCAGGCCGAGCCGGCCCGGGCGTCCCCCGCTCGCCGCCCGCCCCCGGGCCACACGGCGGCGCCGAGGACATCGCCAATAACGTAATCGCAGCAGAGGCGACTCTCGCGCGCGTTTGCAATTCGGCGGCCTGTCCGGGCCCGCGCTGTGCCGCCCGAGGGGGCCGCGGCGCGCAACCTCTCCCCCTCCCCCCTTTAGGACGCCCCGCGCCCCGCCGCCACCCGCGGATGAGAGTGCAAGGCTGTTGTTGTTGTTCGGCAGGCCCGACAGCCTATATTATTCCTCGCCTTCACCTCTTCACCACCGTCGTCGTCGTGGTGCCCCTTTCCCAAGCAGGCGATCGGCATAGCCGTCCCCGCCGCCACCGCGCCGCATTTCCTCGAGCGGCGCGCATTTTCAATTTCAATTCGGGCATGCCCGGCTGGCCGGCCGGCGTCGGGACGGGGGGCGCGATTCGACGCGATCCCATCAGCTCCGCACGGAGAGGGAAGGCCCGCCGGCCCGCCAAGGCCCAAACTAAGAAAAAAAAAAGTACAAGCGGACGAGTGTCGCACAGAGGTGGGCCAATACATTCCACACACTGGTAAAACAAGTGTGCACATTACATGGTGTTTAACTCTAGTAGCACACTTGCGTGGTGTACAAATTTTAGACGTTTTCTAAACGCTTAAATTCTGCACACTGGCACACACACAGTTCAATAACAACCACTGGTTTGCAGCTGCTATACTTTTCGGAAGTGTCGAAAGTAATTTGACGTTTAACCTAGTTCGACACCAAAATGTGTCGAGAAAATGCACCCTTGAACTTAAATATCAATTAACGTGCAAACTTTAACACTCGTTTTACCAGTGCACTGCTTGAATACGTGCGGAACGAGCTTATTCGCACTGTTGTGCACCACGAACGCGCGCGAGATAGCCTTCCAGACATTTGCAAAATGTGCCATGCGGCTATTTGCTTGCACCCGTGTGGGAATAAGGTTGTCGCAAATCTATGACAGTGAGAAGTTACTCGCTCACAGGGAGGTGTTTGTGTTTGACATTCGTACCCTTAAGTTGTGTTTTAAGTGTATCAAGGTTTTCCCAGGTCTTGACTCCTGGCCAATTTTCCATGGCTTTTCAACGCTATTCCAGGCCAAATTTTACGGGTCTCCATGAATTTTCCTCGGACTTTTCCGTTGCACATCAGCCAGAGTGGTACTCACCACTCTTGTTGTCCATGAGGTCCCGGTAGAAGTGGACAAAGTCCGTGGCGATCTGGGCCATGTTGCTGGTGTCGGCGGCAGCGGTGTACTGGCGGTAGTGTCGGCGGCAGCTGCCGGCGCGGGGTCACGAGGAGCCTTGCGACCTGCGAAAATAAAAAAAACAAAATAGCACATCATGAGTCAGTCGTCAGCCACACACTCAGACACGGGTGTCACACGTTCCCCACACACACACGCTGCAGACGGTCGAAGGTGCAACGAGGCAAACAAGACGTCAAGAAGACCCGGGGTCAAGCAGGAGGGGGGAAGGGTTAAGCAATACGGATGGCGGGTTAAGCAGATCCCGGCGGCCCAGGAAGCCCCGGGGCGGACGTGTCGCCATGGCGCCCGGGGCCGCAGCACGTCGGCGACGACGACAACGACTCCACCCGAGCGACGGACCGGAAGTAGAGCGGCCCCCGCCAAGCGCCATATAGGAGACTCGCACCGAGTCGGTTGTGTTGGAGATGACCAAGAGGGCGACGACGACCACACGCACCTGCACGAGGTGCAGAGAGATGAGCGGAGCTGCTGGGCGGGGCGCGCACCGCGGAGGCGAGGAGCAGACTGACTGGAGCCGCCAGCGTCCGCGTGGTGTGGGCCTGGCCAGTCGCGGGCCGTACCGGGCGGGGCG